GGGGAGATAAGGGAACTCCTGGGTAAAGTTCCTCATTCTGGGGATGCAAAATGAGGAAGTCACTTGTGAACTTATTGAGGAGGGGTTTTATAACAGAGTCTTTAGGGAGAGACATTCCACTCTGATTTACAATCCACCTGCTAGCCCAAGTAGGCATGCTCCTCTTACCAGTGGCATGCAAGGCCATCAGTGTTTGAATTCTGAATTCTTCATTCTTCTCTTTGGCCCTCTTTGTCCAGACTTAACACAATTCTTAGGAAGAAGAATGAGAGGAGAACAACCCTCGTATAAAGGTTTGGGAACTTTAATCATGTTTCACTATAGATCTTTTCCTAAAGACAGAACCCATTGTCTAAAAGCTAATTTTTGGAAATAGCTATAAACACATATTATCATTGACTGTTTGCCTTTCTTTCTTTACCCTATGAACTCAGAAAAATTGAGCATTTTTCTTTTCCACATTGGGAGAAAATAATTAGCATATCAGAAATCCTCCACAGTACTGTAAGAGAAGTGATTTGCAACTCGATCTGGGTGAAGGGAATATCATGGTGCGGAAGCATAATTACATACTTAGAGAAAGACATTCTCCTGCATCCAGCAAAGAGTGCAAAGCTGATCTAGGTTTTCATTTATACATGTTGGGTTGCTAACCAAAAGTTAGTGGTTCGTATCCACCAACCACTCTACTGAAGAAAGACGAGACAGTCTCCTGTAGAGACTTATCAAGTCTGGAGAGTGTTGAGTCAGAATTGACCCGAGAGCAATGGGTTTGATTCATTTTGGAATGAAGCCTGGGAAGAGAGTGCACACTTTTCACGTGATCCCCAAAAGAATGAATTTTAATGTCAATATGTGGATATTTAAACCTAGACCTTTGAGAATCTTCGTGTCTGTTTTTAAGGAGTCTCTCTGACTTAGATATTTCTTTCTCTGGAAGAACTCAGGATACTCTGGTTTTCCCTGACGATTATGGGTCAAGTTTATAATGCATGTGCGTCCTCAAAAATAGACAAGGCTCCTTGCTATCTCTTCTAGGGAGGAGTTAATATCATGTACCATGGGATCCAGGACTATAACAAAAATAGTCCTCGAGTGCACCTTGTGATGGAGAAGGGAGACACTGTTTTCTTTCATCCTCTGCTCATCCATGGATCTGGTCAAAATAAGACCAAAGGGTTCCGGAAGGTATGTGTCTTCATTGCTGCACTTTTCAGATAAATGGGGTTAGCTGCAAAAAAATTGAAAATATATTAAAAGGTATAGAGTTTGTGAGTTTTAATTAGATTGGCCCTTGAGTCCATTTTACTTTCCAAGAAATGAATGTTTTACCTCCTGCTTCTCCTATCAGTAAGAACCAGGTTACTTTATGATCCTATTGATTCTGAATCATGAAGATTCCTTAAAAAGGAAAAAAAAAGTTTTTGTTTTTATAGCTCACAGCTGGAGCATGAAGGCAAAAAAATAAGGGCTGAAATACCGAAATATTAAAATTTGGAATTTGCATAGCCACAATAAGAGGATAGTTAGTATTATCTTTGCTATTTTAAAAAATATTTTATTTTTAAAAATAATTTTAATGAACATTTACGGAGAATTTGGATTTCCATTCATTCATTGCTGCACTTCTCTCCCCACCCAGCCCTCTCCCCCCACCCCCGAGTTCGCTCCTCTCTTTCAAAAGTAAAAAGAAAGACTCCCTCCCTGGTACACAATCCCCCTGCAACCCTCCCACCACCCCAAGTACATTCCACTACGCAACCTTAATTGTGGACTATTGTGATAACCATAATATCCTATCATAACATCGCTTTTAAATTACTCAGTCCCTCATCTGTTTCAGTGCAGTATACACAATTTACCCAGTTTTTCTCAGTCTTCCCCCCACCCCGATATCAGTCCCATTTTACAACAGTGGCACCATGCAATATTTGTCCTTTTGCAACTGGGATATTTCACTCAGCATAATGTTCTCCAGAGTCAACCATTTTGAATAATATTGCATGAGTTCCCTGTTTTTCAATGCAGCATAGTATTCCATTGTGCAAATATACCACAGCTTCTCTAGCCATTCGTTTGTTGATGGCACACTGGATCTTTGAAGTGCTGTGTTGATATGATTTTCTCATTTAAAACTCGTCTACTTAGGCTGAATTTCTAGAGCATTTTGATAGAGTTGTTTCATTGTCTGGTGTTTGCGTGGATAAGCCATTGTCTTGGTTTTTCAGAAGAGAAGAATTCAGAGAATCAAATTTTTATTTTATTGTGATAAAAGTTTGAATATAACATAAATTTTACTGCTTTAACCACTTTTAAATGTATAATTTAGTGGCATTAAATTAAATATGCTAAAAAAAAGAAAAAATAAATATGCTGTGCAACCATCACTAAGTATTTCCAAAATTTTTCATCCCTCAAACACATATTCAGTGCTACTTCCATAATAGTTCTCAATTCTCCTCCTCAGTCCCTGGTACTTGCAGATCTAAGCATTTGCCAATCTAGATATTTCATATAAGTGGGATCATGCAATATTTATCCTGTTGCATTAGGTTTATGTCACTCAACCTTTGTTTCTCAAATTTCATCCACGTGGTAGCGTGTATGAAAATTTTGTTTCTCTTTATGGCTGCTGAATAGTTTCCATCCTATATCTGTATGATGGCCCTGGCATAAACAAATGGTCTGTTCTCAGCTATTAACAAACAAATAAACAAAGAGTGGTTTAAACTCACCCGAGGTGCTGTGGAAGACAGACCTGGAACTTGGCTTCTGTAATGATAATAGCCAAGAAAACCTTGTAGAGAGAAAGGCAACACACAATAAAGAGTTGATTAGACATTGCAACTCCTTCATTACATTACCCCATGGTAATTAATGTTGTATATTAAAAAAAGGTCTGTGAAAATTGGTATGAAGAAACAAAATGACATGTAAACCTTCACTCAAATTTTAAAAATTGCTTAAAATAAATAATCAACGAGTTAGGGAAAGCAGAAGACAACTATGTGTGGTGTTATTCTGTCCCACAGGGTTTTGCTTTAAGTTAGCATCGACTTGACAGTAAAGGGTGTAGTTTGGGTTTTCAGTTATGTGTTTACTGTGTTTCATTCAGTGAGCATTTTTTAAGTGTTGGTTCCATTTCAGGCAAGAAGTCGTCCCGCCATCCCTTACACCAGGACCTGCACTATTTCCCCTTCCGGCCGGCGGATACCATCGTGTGTGCTTGGACCGCGATGGAGCACGTTGACCGCAACAACGGCTGTCTGGTTGTGCTACCTGGCTCACACAAGGGCTCCCTGAAGCAGCACGACTACCCCCAGTGGGAGGTAGGTCTGTCCAAGTCCTTTCTCAGTCTTGGTTCAATATCTATGCCTTTAAAGAGCTTTACACATGAGATGGCATTTCTTTCCCTTGAAATTTCCAATGTCCTTTGAGTGCAGTTAGGACAGAGAAGGTTAAAAGATGTCAGGTGAAATAAACATTAATTTTGGGCTTTCAACAAATGTTTGGAAGCCAAGCAGTGGGGAACTTTGGCCCGTATTGCATAAGATATGACGTTGTGAAACCTAATCTCAGAGCTAGGACACACGTATTCCAGTGCACATGTGTCGAATATGTGCCAAGTCAGTTTTTATATAAAAGTGACTCTTGGGGTACAGAAGAAGAAGGGAGCTTTTCCTTGCTGGAGAAAATCAGTGAGGACTCGGGGAGCTTGGTATTAACAGGGTTTTTTTTTCTATTATAAGTGCAGTGAAAATTTAAAAAGCAAATTGGTTTTCCATTCAACCATTCACAGACATTTTGTTTTATAACATTAATTACCACCACCATGTGAAACTGCACTTTCCCCACTTCTTCCGTGTGATTCTTGTTTCCATTAATTCTTCTAAGTCTCCCTGTCCTGCATGTTCTGAGCTTTATCCCTGAGCAAACTCTGCCCTTTTGACCTTTTATGATTGGTTCTTAACTATGACTCACAGGGACTCGATAAGCAATGACTATAAACCTTGTCCTATCTTGAGCCAACCTCCCTGTCTCCGACACATTTGACCCCATTACTGTAATTCCTGTCAATCCATCTTTTAGAGGGTTTTCCTCTCTTGCTCTGCCCCTCCACCTTTCCAGGCATGATGTCCTTCTCCAAGGACTAGTCCCTCCTGACAACATGCCCAAAGTGAGATGGAGTTTCACCATCCTTGCCTCTAAGGAGCACTTTGGTTTCATTTTCTGTAGGACAGCCTTGTTTTTTCTCTTGTCATATCATACTCTTCTCCAGCACCACAACTCACTGGGATTGGTTCTTCCTCTGTCATCTTTAATCATTGTCCAGCTTTCAAATGCATAACTTGGTGTTAATTATCACCTTACAGACCTGTCTAGTTTGGCTGAAAGTTGAGCCACATGAGTTTTGTTCCACGTTTGAAGGGTGACCTGAATCCTCGCCTATCTTGTGCCATTCTCACAGTCTCTGACATACTTGAGCCCGTTGTTGCAGTCACTGTGTCAATCCACCTGGTTGAGGGTCTTTCTCTCTTTCGCTGACCCTCCACCTTTCCAAGCATGATCTCCCTCTCCAAAGAATGGTCCTTCCTAGCAACATGCCCAAAGTATGTGCGATGAGGCTTTGCCATCCGAGCCTCCAAGAAGCACTCTTGCTTCACCTTGTTCAAGACATATCACTTAAGTTAGTACCTAGTTAAGGTTTAGTACAGTCAGCAGAAGTGGACTCTGGTAGCCTGCAGAGTCCATGGGAAGGCAAGCTAGGTCCGAAGGTCAGGAGGATAGAAGTCATTGCTTAATTGGGACAGTCTAGCCCCAGGCAATTGAACCCTGGTGATAGTCAATCTCTGATACTTTGTTTGGATTAAAAATTACAGCAACAGGAGATCAGCTTGGTCTCAGTTGGGCCATGCAACCACACTGGCATTGACCAAAGTCCAAACAAACAATTCAGTAGGAAGAGTTCATATCATAAAGAAATGTGGACAACTTGTTGAGTTAGTGGACTAAGGAAGAAATCAGAGAGAACGAAAGAAAGCTTAATGCAGCTTTATTAAGGGGGGGAGATAAGGGAACTCCTGGGTAAAGTTCCTCATTCTGGGGATGCAAAATGAGGAAGTCACTTGTGAACTTATTGAGGAGGGGTTTTATAACAGAGTCTTTAGGGAGAGACATTCCACTCTGATTTACAATCCACCTGCTAGCCCAAGTAGGCATGCTCCTCTTACCAGTGGCATGCAAGGCCATCAGTGTTTGAATTCTGAATTCTTCATTCTTCTCTTTGGCCCTCTTTGTCCAGACTTAACACAATTCTTAGGAAGAAGAATGAGAGGAGAACAACCCTCGTATAAAGGTTTGGGAACTTTAATCATGTTTCACTATAGATCTTTTCCTAAAGACAGAACCCATTGTCTAAAAGCTAATTTTTGGAAATAGCTATAAACACATATTATCATTGACTGTTTGCCTTTCTTTCTTTACCCTATGAACTCAGAAAAATTGAGCATTTTTCTTTTCCACATTGGGAGAAAATAATTAGCATATCAGAAATCCTCCACAGTACTGTAAGAGAAGTGATTTGCAACTCGATCTGGGTGAAGGGAATATCATGGTGCGGAAGCATAATTACATACTTAGAGAAAGACATTCTCCTGCATCCAGCAAAGAGTGCAAAGCTGATCTAGGTTTTCATTTATACATGTTGGGTTGCTAACCAAAAGTTAGTGGTTCGTATCCACCAACCACTCTACTGAAGAAAGACGAGACAGTCTCCTGTAGAGACTTATCAAGTCTGGAGAGTGTTGAGTCAGAATTGACCCGAGAGCAATGGGTTTGATTCATTTTGGAATGAAGCCTGGGAAGAGAGTGCACACTTTTCACGTGATCCCCAAAAGAATGAATTTTAATGTCAATATGTGGATATTTAAACCTAGACCTTTGAGAATCTTCGTGTCTGTTTTTAAGGAGTCTCTCTGACTTAGATATTTCTTTCTCTGGAAGAACTCAGGATACTCTGGTTTTCCCTGACGATTATGGGTCAAGTTTATAATGCATGTGCGTCCTCAAAAATAGACAAGGCTCCTTGCTATCTCTTCTAGGGAGGAGTTAATATCATGTACCATGGGATCCAGGACTATAACAAAAATAGTCCTCGAGTGCACCTTGTGATGGAGAAGGGAGACACTGTTTTCTTTCATCCTCTGCTCATCCATGGATCTGGTCAAAATAAGACCAAAGGGTTCCGGAAGGTATGTGTCTTCATTGCTGCACTTTTCAGATAAATGGGGTTAGCTGCAAAAAAATTGAAAATATATTAAAAGGTATAGAGTTTGTGAGTTTTAATTAGATTGGCCCTTGAGTCCATTTTACTTTCCAAGAAATGAATGTTTTACCTCCTGCTTCTCCTATCAGTAAGAACCAGGTTACTTTATGATCCTATTGATTCTGAATCATGAAGATTCCTTAAAAAGGAAAAAAAAAGTTTTTGTTTTTATAGCTCACAGCTGGAGCATGAAGGCAAAAAAATAAGGGCTGAAATACCGAAATATTAAAATTTGGAATTTGCATAGCCACAATAAGAGGATAGTTAGTATTATCTTTGCTATTTTAAAAAATATTTTATTTTTAAAAATAATTTTAATGAACATTTACGGAGAATTTGGATTTCCATTCATTCATTGCTGCACTTCTCTCCCCACCCAGCCCTCTCCCCCCACCCCCGAGTTCGCTCCTCTCTTTCAAAAGTAAAAAGAAAGACTCCCTCCCTGGTACACAATCCCCCTGCAACCCTCCCACCACCCCAAGTACATTCCACTACGCAACCTTAATTGTGGACTATTGTGATAACCATAATATCCTATCATAACATCGCTTTTAAATTACTCAGTCCCTCATCTGTTTCAGTGCAGTATACACAATTTACCCAGTTTTTCTCAGTCTTCCCCCCACCCCGATATCAGTCCCATTTTACAACAGTGGCACCATGCAATATTTGTCCTTTTGCAACTG